GTTCTAATGGTTTTGTCTACAGTTTAATTTCACATGTGGGAAAACTTAAAACAGAGCCTTAATATGCTCTTCTCTAAAGTGCATTTATTTGCGAGTCCTGTCAGTTTTAATGGAATTTGGTTCTCTGGAAGTTCATGAAATTGAAAGGAATTGGTTTTATTGATGGGAATTGCATTGATGCCACAAATATGGCAATTTGCATTTCTGTAAGATTTTTAATAGGAATTCTGCTTTGAAAAGACTTTCCTAATGATGTACCTATTTTAATGAGTGCGTGTTTGGAGGAGATAATGTCATAAGATGGAATGGGAGTATGACAGGCAAAGCTTTCTAAAAGCTAATTATTAAGCAGTGAGTAACTGCCTATGATTGTAAATTTAATTTGATCTGAAAGCTGCTTCTAACATTACTTTTCTCTGTGCGTAAGTCTGGTTAGCCAAACTCGTGTCTGAGACACGCATAGAGAAAAATAATGAATATTTCTAAAATGTTCCCCTCTCCTTCTCAATCCACATTATGCAACAACATGGGGCATCTAAATTCAGCAAATATAAACAAATAGAACTTGGCTCACACAATATTGTCAATCACAGAATTAGGTTTTGTTTGTAGCCGAGTTTGGAATTCCTTAATATGAAATTCTAAACTCCCCAGGAATTAATCCCTTTATGATGAGTTCGATAAGGGATAATTTCTAATCCCATTCTCTTCATTCACTCATGCAATAGGTGCTAATGGTGTGTACCTCAAAAATCTGTTTGTGTAAAGAGGTTTTGCCCACTAGCAATTTCTTCATCTTTGCCCAACTTCTTTTCTAACTGCACCATGCCTTTAGAGAATGTGAATGTAGTTTTATTTTGTTAGAATGCTGTAACTTACAAATGTAAATTAGTACTGGGCACAGTCCAAGCAAGGGCTGTCCTGTTTTTCTTCTATCACCAGTCTAATCTAATCATTGCCTTTAAAAAAAAAGATTTTTAAATGTATTTTCTAAACTAAACCTCTATGGGGTCAGAGGAAGACAAGTAACAAGAGATAATTATTACATATTTTGAATTAATCGATGTTTCCCTAATATCAAAACGGCAATACGTGAGAGTTATTGCAATAAAATTGTAGGGAATAAAGCGAGCATTCAAAAACAGATTTGACTAAAGTGTATACTTCTTAGCTTAAAGTTATTTTTTAATAATAGGTAACAGACAGTCAGAGTTACATTCTTATACATTTTCTTCCTTTACATTTCTTTTCAAATTTCTTTTTATTTTTAGGATACTTAGGAGCCATAGCCCCTAATTCTGCTTCAGAGTCTAAGGATTCAGCCGTTGAGGAGTTCTTAGAACTTTCTTCATTTTCATCTTCTTCTTTTTGTGCATCTTTATCGGCCTCCAATTTCTCAGGTCCATCTTTATCTTCTTGTTGTTGCTCAGGAATTTTTTTTTATTTAAGAACAGAGTCAATCTTTTCTTTCTTCCTGTTGAAGTTGAAAATAATGCCTTCCGGTGTAATCCATCTGTAAGGGGTGTTATGCTTTTGCAAAAACAATGCCAAGTCTCTGTATTGTCTTCTTCTTTTTCTGATCTCAAATGGAATGTCTTTTAAGGTTTTGACTTGTTGTCCTTGGATTTTCAAAATATTTCCACTTGTCACTTTCAGAATCAAGTCTCTTGTTAACCTTTTTGAGAATTTGACAAATATTTCCCCGGGAAACTTATTTTTCTTTATATATTCTGGATATGTACGATATATCATATCCATGTTCCTTTGTAACACTTCCACTGTTAAACTTACCACGGGGGCCAGTTCCTTACTTAAAATCTCCTTCAGGTCCTCTCCTTTCTGCTCCGGAATGTTCTGAAATCTCAGGACATATGCTGATTTTTCCAACTGGAGAAGTAACAGTTGATGATTCTCAGAGATTTTATCCTTTTCCACCACCTCTAATCTTTGTCCAAACTCCTTGGACTTAAGATCAACTTTCTTCAGCTTCTTGGTTATCGTCTCTGTTTTTGCTGAAGTTTCTTGAAATTCCTTGTGCAACGTGTCAAATTTCTGGTTAAGCATGGTCATCTGGTCCACTAGAGGGCGCAAGGCTGCAGCAATCATTTCGGAGAAGTCTACAGTTGCTTCCGGTTTAAAAGCTGGAGACTATATGCTGTCTGCTCCTGTAAGGTTAGCTTTCGCTGCCATTTTCTCCGAGTGCTGCATCATTGTTTATAGTAAGAAGTTTTGAAAAGTCTCTTAAAGTCTGAAAATATCATTTTCTAGCTAATCTGCACCACATTCCATCAGCATCTGCTGTTTTCAAGCTGCCCCCGCCTTCAGCTTTTAACTCAGTTCTTTGGACATGGGGATTCCCCCCCCTTCCGCTTATTTAGGGCTTTGGGGCAGCTTTACTCCTGACGTTCAGATGGCAGCTTGCTAAATGGTAAGTTTACTCCCATTCTTACTTGCGTTTGTTTAAGCAGTAGGCAATATCGGTCCTGGTGGATCTCTTGCACGCTCGGTCAGGTGTGCGCCTCCCCATCGGCACGTTTGCGGGCCGCTCACATCAGAGCAACGATGGAGCGCACCCACTTGCGAGTTGCCAAAAACCGGAAGCCTAATCATTGCCTTTTGAGGTTAGGGATGGGGCGGTTCATTCTGATGCAGGTACTAGTCAGATTCAGTGACTGGGAGAAACCTGGGTACAGGCAAATGAACAATAAGATATTTAAAGTTGCCAGTGAGCTTTTTGGCCTATGCATTCTAGCCTCTCTTCTTGTGGAACATTAAGAGCCATATTCTAGAAGAGCAACCATGTTAGGCCTAGAGGAAATGCAACACCCTGTTGCTGTTTTATTAAAAATAAGGTATCTGTGATTCTCCTTATCATTTGTACTGAAGACCATATTCCTTCAGGGTGAGAAGGTTCACCATTGGGTTGTGTGGTTATTAGGGATAAAGTGCTGGGGGACTGCGCGTCTACTGGTGTTCCTTTTAATCCGTTCCATCAGAAGATGGAAGTATACATAAAATGTAGTCTTCTGTGTTCAAAAAACGATCACAAACATAGTTCATGACCATGATGATGGTGAATATTAGGACGAGAGCGACCTTGGAGGTGTTCTGGAGTTGTGCTCCTTCTAGCCTTAGATCCAAATTGCATCTTCTTTCCAGTGAGTACTGGTATTGAATATTACTGGTACTCATGGGTGACCTACACAAAAAATAGAAAGAACATTCTGTCTGTAGCGTTAGAAGGTAAGCAACATTGAAAAGTGGAAAGAAGCTTTGGAAGAGTAGATGAGTCATAAATAAAGAGAAAGGCTTTGCAAATGATACACCCACGGAATCTATCATAAGCAGCATTTTACTTTACCTCTGATCAGTACGAGTTTTGTGCAGTTATATAAGAATATGAGAAGCTCCCCCCCCCTTTCATTGGGTGGGAGGTTATGAAAGAGAGTGTACTTCACTATGGGCATCAAGAAGTCTTTTTAAATTAGCGCGTTGGCAGAAGAGGTGGCAGCTAATTTTTGATAACTGAGCAGCAGTTACGATTTAAAGGTGTGGTTCTAAACCAAGAGCTGTACAGAGTCAGGGTTAGGAAAGCATATTTTATTTTGGGTTTTTTTCCTGTATGTTTAAAAAGTATTCTATTTTCCTTTTTCCTTCTGGTTTTGAGGAGCCCTGAAAAAGAATATGAAAGGATTCTTCCACTGTGCAGAGGTAGGGGAAAAAGATGTGTGCCCATTTTTGAGGCAGCTGGGCCAATGTGCTGATTAAAACTGCCGCAAGATAGGGAAGATTGGCCCAGTTGGCAGCAGGAATGGCTGATGAGATTGACTTCATTTGCCCCGAGTGATTAGCTAAGTGGTGCCATGGCCACTTTCATGTTCAAATCAGCTAGGGTCACGTAGGAAGGAAGGAAGCTCTGCAAATGACACTGAATCCGCAACAGATCAAAGCTGCAAGTAGGTACAACCCCCTCACAAAGTGTCACACAGGTAGGGCTCTTCTCAAGGAAATTTTCATACGCCCCCTCCATAGCATCCTTCCCCCCCACCCCCAAGTTCTCAGAGGAATAGTTTGTGTATTCTGCCTGAATAATATGCTGTACTGTATACCTTGCTTTGGCTAAACATGTTGAAGTTCTGCATTAGGCAAGATTTAGAACAGCCTAATATTCACAGAAATCATATTGTTTGGTCAGGAACTATTGAGTGACTCCTATCTCAAGTGGTCCTTTCCCCAAAGCCACCTCCTTTCAATAGACTTGTATTTGTTACTGGTACACCACCGCAGTTTGTTTTAATTAGTAAAATTTAGCAGAGGCCAAGAACTTCGTGTTCTGTCAAGATTGATCTGTCCCTATTATGTTTGTAGGAGGTCCTCCCACCAGATTATGGAGGAGGCGCGCCAGCAAAGCTGTTACAGAAGAAGAATGGCAGTATGGATGCCCTGTAGATAAACGAAGTGTCATTCATCCCCAAACTGGTGATGAATGGCAAAGTGATACAGCTTATTTTCAGTGGAAATATGAAGCCCTGTGCATGTTACTGGTCATCGTACTCCTTGTATAAACTGGATAGGCAGCAGTGCGTAATGAAATGTAGTCATTATGAGGCTGACAAGGTAGTTGAAATTATTTTAGAGGTGACACTAAATGTTCATTGTGTGGTCTGAAATATGGATCAACAGACACAAGCCGTGGCCTACCCATACAGTTGCTGCGGATAGCAAAAAAAGAAGAAGTGGGTGGGTGGGGGGGATCATGAAATGCCGCATAGATGGTTGTGTGCAGCCTCCCACACTTAACAGCCTTCCTCTATTTCAGGTGGCAACAGCCTCATAAACAGAGAAATATTATTAGGAAAACTTATTTATTCTTTTGTAGCTTGTGTTTATGTTGATCAGAGGTTGTTGAGTACTGGAATGTGACATAGTTCTTCTTTTTTCTTTTACTAGTGTTTTTAGCTTTTTCTAACTAAACAGCCCTCTACTCTTTCTATCACCAGCTGCTTGAACACAATGGAACACTTGGGAACAGCGGACCCAGAAGATGATTCAGGATCATTGCCGCGCCTTGCACCTAGTCCCCACAGTGAGGCGGTAGCTCACGAATTCCAGGAACTCTCTCTGCAACCCATCCAGTGTTTGCCTCCCCTTAACGAAAGGAAGAATGGTGAGTACAGGACAGAGCCCCAATCAGTGTCTTGGTTGGATTGTTGAATTTTAGGTAGTGCTTGATTTGAGATGCTTCCTTTTTGTGCCAGCTAAGGTAGGATAGGATGGAATGGACCGTGACCATAAATGGTTCATGGAACAGGTATCTTCTCACACTCTCCTGCAGTTCCTGTGCCCCTCCTGAAAAGCCGAGTGTTGAGGGTCCTCCAGAACATAGTGGGACAGAATGTTGAGGGACAAGCTGCTATTCAAGAGGGACATTGGCAGAAATCAGCCTCCTTCCTTTTAGTGAAAGCTCTTCCATGAATACACTAGTTGTTGATTCCCACTTCTTGCTGTAGCATCTAACTCTGTTTCTGAGGGATCATCTTCATGGCTTCTGTGCAGTCCCACACGGGACTTCCACTTGTGCAGGCCTGCCATGGAGATTTCTTCTACAAAGCTCTCTAGAATGTTCAGAGCGCCTCCCCTCATGGGCCGGCTCTTTCTCACTCATTCAACACATGATGGGTTGGGGTGAGTGCTTCTTTTCTCGGTCCTTTCTTCATCGCCACAGAGATCAGACGTCTTTGCTGTCTTCTGATTTTCACAGGTTTTCCTCTAGTGGTTATTTTCGACCTTCACTTCTTGCTCAATTTCTAAAAAAAGGGATAAAGAACTTTAAAACCCCATAAATAGAGCTATAGCTCTATTTAAGAAATGTGCTGAGGCCTAAAAATGGCTCAGTCAGATGACCATGACTGCTGACTCCAGCACCTACCGTAGGCAAGGCCCACAATGTCTCTGTATGCTGGATTTGTAAGTAATTCACCCCAAAATCCCACTCAAATAGGGCTTCTAGACTGAGAGGCACCCCTTGGGAGAAGGCTTTAGTGGCTGCCGGCAAAGATCAGATGCCTTCCAAGGAGTTGGAACTAGACCGCAGTGCCTGTACCCCCCCCCCTTTGGGGTCAGTGCCATCAGGATCTGTATTGGAACAAAGCCCACTGTTGGCTCAAAAGAAATCCTAGGTGTTATGTAGCTCCTCAGAACTACCATTGCAGAAGAAAAAACTGAAGTCAAAGCATAAAACTTCCCATGCCCGCCCTACCGGGACCGGATCTGTCCCATACTCTGTGACCCCAAACCACCTCCCCAACCCCCAGATGGTCGCTGTCTCCTTCCTATGACAAGGTCATTGAAGTTGCTCTTCAGTCTCCTCCTGAAGCTGAAGCTCCTCCACCTAAACAGCATCGCAGATCTTCGGGAGATTCCATGCCCTCAGTATTGGGGACCACCACCTCCTCAATGGTTCCAGTATGCTCCACTGCCAATGTATTGGCCTATGAGTGGGAACAACAGCTACCCCCTTCTGAGGAATCAAGCTCCCAGCCACATTGTGCTCCCCTGCTGGCTCTGGTTGCTATGGATCCAAGCCGCTAGGAAGAGGAGAAGCATCTGTCTCTAGGTAGTTCTGATGCCCCTTCGGAACCATCACCTGATGAATGCATCATGGACACATTGCCTGTCTCCCCACTGGAGGATCTCTGACTTTATCCCGAACAGTTGATTCAGACGGCTGAGTCCCTCAACACTGAAGTGATCTGCTTGCAACCAGTTACATCTGACCCTGTTCTGAAAGCCCTCTACCCACCTAACACAGGTTTAATTGCTTTCCCAGTGCTACAGTGCTTGCTGGATATATCCAAATCCATCTGGACCAAGCCAGCATCAGTCTCTCCTGCTGCCAAGAAAACTGACCACACATCACAAGGTTTTAGGGTAGGACTGTGATTCCCTCTTTGCCCACCTCACTGCTAATTCCACTGTAACAGAGGTCATCCCAGCCAAGCAGTGCTCTGGGCCTCATTCCTCACTGTTCGACTGGGAAGGATGTAAGCTTGACGGCCTCGGCCATAAGGTCTACATGTCATTGGCTTTAATTCTATGCAGGGCGAACTTCAATGCCATCATGGGGCACTCTCAAACGTTCCTGTGGGAATGAATGGCTACGTTCTTTGACTCCCTCCCAGAAGAGCATAAAGCTGTGGCCAAAGTCCTGCAGGCATAAGGCTCTAAACTTGGAAAGCAGCAATTAAACACCACACGGCATATTACAGACTCATGCTGTATATCCATCGCCTCCACCATATTCCTACGGCACCACTCCTGGCTCTGATGTGCCACCCTGCCCAGTGACACTAAAGGTGAGGAAGGAATGTATTCAGCTCCCAGACAGACAATGTCCTTGACCGTGTGTGAAAGAACAAGATCACCACGAGGTGACCCACCCACCCAGACCGACAAATCTCACTACTTTCCGAGGCATTCAGCCCACTCACAGTCATCACGATCATATTGGGACCAACCCATCTGCTCCAATTCTTCCTTGCGCCCTTTTTTCCAGTACCCTCAGGGCAAGAAACAACAGGGTCACCCCCGCTCCAAGCAGGGTCCTGCTTCATCTCAGGAGACCTCTGGCAAGGATAAACCTCAATCCTGGCTGTTCTTCCAGTCAGTCTCTACCTGCCTTATCCTGTTTGTTGCACGCTCTACCCTGCTTGGGAGTCAGTTACTTCTGACACTTGGGTTCTTAGCATCATTCAGCAAGGATATTTTCTTCAGTTTTGTTTTTCACCAATTAGTCATCCTGCTTCCTCCCCCTCTGTGCCTCCTCCAGAGTTGCAAAAGGAGGTGCTCCAGCTCTTCAATAAAGGGGCCATCAAGCCTGTTCCATTAGTTGAAACCACTGCTGGCTTTTATTTTCATCATTTCCGGTTTGATAAGAAAGATGGTGGTAAACCTCCTATCTTAGATCTAAGGGCCCTCAATATTGTCCTCGTGGTCCTTAAGTTTTGTATGACCACACTACAGGCGGTCATGGGCTTGATTTGTCCCCATGAATGGTTTGCTGTTATTGATCTTAAAGATGCTTACTTTCATATTACCATACACCCCACATCCAGAAAGTTCCTTTGGTTCCAGTGCGGGCAGGTCTGCTACCAGTGCACTGCTTTCTTTTGTCTTGGCCACTGCCCCCAGGGTATTTATCAAATTCATGTCTGCGGTAGTCGCCCACCTTCACCTAAGGGTCTGTGTTGTCCAAAAAACTGGATGATGGGCTTTTTACCACACCCTTTCCTGAGCTGCTAGCTAGTCACATTTCTCTAGCTGTTTCCACCCTAACTGGCCCCAATGTGCATTTGCACCCCAACTTTGCACTTGGCCACATTGAACCCCATTTGCCATGTTGATGCCCATTCGCCCATCCTCAGCAGATCCCTTCAGAGTGCCTCACAATCCTCCCTGGTTCTCACCACCCTGAACAATTTAGTGTCATTTCACACTGTGAAAATTGCCCATTTATACTCTCTGTTTCCTATTAATTAGCCAGTTTTTGATCCACAATGGGACTTGTCCTTTTAACTCATGACTATTGAGCTTATGTAGGCACCTTTGATGAGGAACTTTTATCGAAAGCTTTCAGGAAGTCAAGGTAAACAACATTTATTGGGTCCCCCTTGTCCACATGCTTGTTCACCCCCTAACTGACACTAGCAGGTTAGTGAGACAAGATCTTCCCTTACAGACCCCATGCTGAGTCTGCTTCAATAGTTTTTGTTCATCAATGTGCCTACTAATTCTCTCCTTAATAATGTTTTCCACCAACTTATCCGGTATTGACATCAGACTTACTGGCCTGTAATTTCCCGGATCTCCTCTGGAACCCTTTTTAAAGCTGGGGGTGACATTAGCTACCTTCCAGTCCTCAGGAATGGAGGCAGATTTTAATGAAAGATTTCATATTCTTGTCAGGAGATCCACAAGTTCACATTTGAGCTCTTTCAGAACTCTCGGGTGTATGCCATTAGGGCCTGGTGATTAATTATTAGTTTTTAAGTTGTCTATCAGTCATAGCACTTCCTCTCTTGTCACCTCAATCTGACTCAGGTCTTTCAACACCCCTCCCGAAATCAGCGGTTCTGGAGTGGTAGTTTGTAATTGCTTGCCTCTGTGTCATAAGCCTGGTATTCTTGGACTCTCCCATCCAAATACTAGCCACAGCTAACTCTTGCTTAGCTTCCAATGTCTGATGAGATCGGTAGAAGAAACCTCTGTGGCCAGCCTGCGCAAGTGTGGTCCCATGCTTGCCTGCACAGAAGACCACTTGATGAAAAACAGTTAAAGGTAGGTGTAACCTTGTTTTTCCCTGTCCTCTGGGATGGCTGACTGGGAGGAGCACAAGGTCTGCAGAAGAAAGATGAGAGACTTGTTCCATAAACTTGTTCGTTCGTTCCAACTCAAGGTGAATTCTTGAAACTCACTCAAGAGCACTGCAGAAATCACCAAATACACAATCTTAAATATAGATGTGTCCTTGCTTGTTTGTTATGCCAAGTGATGGGCCTTTCCAATGCTAGTATATTATAACTTGTATATACCCTGATGAGCTGCTGAAGTACCTCCAAAACTATGAACCGCCAGTTTTGTAAGGATCAGTTATACTTAGAGAATGTAGTGGATATTATTCAGTGCCACGTCTGTGGTTTCTTTTGGACAGAAATCAAGGAAGTCTAATCAGGGCATGCCTGGCCTGCACACAGACTTGTTTCAGTTTGTTGTGGTTTCTGTTCTTTGTTTGGCAAGGCAACGCGTTTGTATGCGATCATCTGCCTTCTCTTCACCCAGAAATGTTTCCTATAGTGAGTTACCATTGGATTGTTGTAGAACATCTGGGATTACTTTTGAGAAGCATGGCTATCCGTTTCTGAATGAAATTTGCAAACTCCTCATAGTATCATTGTTACCCTAACACCAGCACCGACTCAATAATCAACAGCCTGTTGGGAGCCCAGACTGTGGTAGTAATGACCGTCTGGAAGCTGAGAGTATACTGCCATCACTTATAAATACTTACTAATATTTATCAATATTTATTGATATTTATGTTTACTGGCACTTATATGATTTTATATGTTGTGATTTACTACTACTACTACTACTACTACTACTACTACT